CCCAAAAAAAAAAAAAAAAAAAATGCAAATAAAAGATATCTGTTGCAAGGAAACGGACCGGGATGACTGTTATCGATAGGAAAATATTGTGCAATTTTTTTTTTTAATTTAAAGAAAATCTATATCAGCATTATATGCATCGAGGCTAACGTTGCACCTGGTGTATACGTAATAGTACGAGTAACGAGTATTCGATGGCTGGGCTCTTATTCATTTTCAATGTGGCGATCTGTGCTATCGTTATTTCTTATATTTCATATTAATGGACGCAACGTGTATTTGCGAAGGGTGAAAATTCAAACTAGTTCAATAATTTTATATACACGTCAGTAGAGGGCAGCACAGACGCTCGTTTGACTTTGGTGTTTAACTTCAGTTAACTGTTATAAGTGCCCAGGAGTTATTCGATGGGCATTTACGTTCTGCTAGTTACTGTTTACAAAAATTAACGTTTCAATGAGTTTTCAAATCTATAACAGCATCTGGTAGTTGAATAAACGAAGTGGAAAAAAATTTGCAATGAAAATGAAAAAATTGCCCAATTCAATTCGCACGAAGATTTTGCAATTTTTTTGGGGAATTTTAGGTATCTCATGATCTTACGACTTTCAAAGATCGGTTTGAGATAAAATATTAAAAATTATTTTGTATGCGTTGAAAATTTTGAAAAAATCGTACCACCCTTGATAGACACGAGGGTGCGAGTAATACGAGGCAATAAATAAAATAAATTTGACTCGGCAAGACGAGTTAATGGAGCTTTTTAAAAAATAATTAAATTTTGTAATCCCGTGAGAAATTTTGCTATAGGAAGTTTTCCATTTAGATGGTTGATAAGCATGTAGACGTCTTATCATATGTCGCGTGTTTAACTGATAACATTGCCGAAGGCAATTTACAAGTTTTGCATATAGTCACAGCTATGGCTGTGGATAAATATCGTATTATCGAACTCTTATCGCTGGTTATTACGTATTGACAAGTTTTTAACAAGCTTCAACTTTTTATCGTGCTCGAAAAAATTGACCTACGTACCTGCTATTCGCTCAAGTGTTAAGTAAGTCTTGTTAGGCATCGCCTGTATACTTTTGAGTTTATACCTTAAATCGTTTCGCATTCAAGATCGAAGACGATCCTTATCGAGATACGTATGAAAATATCCAATAAGACGATACTCGGACAGATTATTATTCTAGGATAAAAATAAACTTGTACACAGGGTATCGTGAAATTCTTTAAATCATACCTTCTTTATAAGCCATACACGACAAGTCTTCATACCAATATAAATTCTAGGACTGTCTTTCCTTTCGGTTCTATTTTTCGGCTCTTTCATCCCTTTACGGTATGTTTCCTTAATAGGAGTGTATATACCCACTGTGCATTGAAAGTCAACAGACCGACTAAGAAGCGTGACAAACAAGCGCAAGATCCCTATAGAAAAGTCAGATCCTCGCGCTACCTACAGACTGTAGGCTTTACAAGGGGAAAGATAAAATTAAAACGATTATTCGCGGTTTTACTTTACCGAGATTTTTTTTTTCCTTCTCTCCTTTAATCCGCCAGCCAGTTTGTCGAGATCGTCGGCACGAGTTGAAAAAAAGAATAAAAAAAAAAAAAAAAGAGAAAGGAACAGAAGGAACGCTTCACTTATTTTGTTTATTAAAATCCTTTTTCTCAAGTTTTTCGTCAAATGCGGATGCTGCAGGTTCCATGAGTTTTCAGTAAACTCTGTCCCGCGAATAGTGCCACGTTGATGAGATTAAATGAATGGACCTGGTTGTTTACAATAGTCTCCATAATCAAAGCGTTATTCGCCAAGGAACGAGAGAAGCTTCTCAAAAATTGCATTCGCACATCTCAAAACGTCCTTCGTTTAATTTTATAACAAAAAAAAAAAAACATGATCCTGATACCCATCGACACTTCCGATTCGCAAGACGGATAAAAAAATTTTTTAAATATAAATCGATTCGAGCCATAAAATACGACAAGGCACCGGCAGGACCTAAAAAAGCCGTTTCTTTCCGACGACACAAAGAACATACCTGATGTACTTTAGGAACGCACAGTTTTAAGGACTTCTTGCTCGACCCCGCATTTCTTAATAATCATCCCAGACATAATTATCAACCCTTGACGTTTCGCTCCGCGTCTTTACTCTAAGATCAAAACAATAAAATGACAGCTGTCAAATCATACAGACACGTGCGCCTCGGATAGCTCTTTAATCTAAAACTAAAGACCCAAACCCAAACGGTCTTGCGGTTAGAGGATCGTGACGTAGCTCTAAGGACACCGCGCCGCTTCACAAACCCAAACCCAACTGGGTTCGCGTATCCGACCAACTAATCTCGACAACATCTGGAACCACGGCTACGTCCTCGTTAGTGGTCACCGCATTAGGTATACCATCGGGCAGCCATGTTTAAGGTAAAATTTACGATTTTCTTAGGACACCCCATACATTGCTACCGACCAAACCCAGCCGACTACACAGAAATCCAACTGAAGCCCTTTACCGTGTTTGGTATATCTAGCTCATGCTACCTGCCTACGTGTACCAATATGTGCACAAGCGTCTAAATGCACCGACGCAAAGCGTCCCTGTGTGCAGGCCTTCATTTCGGATGGAGCATCTAGCTCGAGTATGCAATATACATATATACAAATATATATACCACTCTGAAATAATTCCCCTCTCTTCGAGAAACTGCTTCACCGCGACTCCTTGCTGGCTCCAGTCAAGTACTAATTACATATTTAGAGCAGACGGCGAATTAGGTAGAAAGAGCCCGGAAGAGGGAGACGGATACGTAATCAGAAGGGAGACAGACCTAAGTCATCCCTTCCACATTTTCTACCTACTTCCGCTCCATCAGTCTCGATAAGATCACTCGTTATCGTCTTTGTACTTGACTGTACCTTCATCTTCAGCCAGTTTGTATCCCTGGTTCTAGAGTCCGTAGGTGCATGCGTATACGAGACCTTAAGAAAGGAGCCTGGCGTAGGGTGACTTTTACCTAAGCCTTAATACCGCCCTCTTAAGCCCTGTGGAAGGTGTTTGAAAAAAAAAAAAAAAAAAAAATCGCTACGCGATCGTTCAGCTAATTTTACGTGTCATACCAGAGAACACTCGTAGGCTAAAGAGGATCTTATGGATGAAAGCCAAGAGATTGAGGAACGATCGATGAGTATACCTACAGGCTTGCATCAGGTGATTCCTGGTGCTTGTGACTTATACCTCGTGTAGGCAGAACTTGGGTGGGTTTTGTGTAGGTGAAAAAGAAAAGGGATAAGAAAAGAAAAAAAAATACGCCTGTGCCCCGTGAAATATTAACGCCGATCGTAAAGATCGAACGGGAGCCGCAGCAGAGGACCGGCGGTTCTGTTCGTTTTATGGTTGTCAATAAAAAGTGCCTTCTCGTTGGCCGAGGAAAGCCAACGCGTAAAATTATACAAATACATCGCTACGCCTAAAGCGGAAATCAGAGTAGAGGCCTTCGACGCCCTCTGGGCTATCTTCCGATTTATTGGTACCGGGTCCGCTAAAAGCCTCGGGGAATATCCTGGCTGGTATTAATGTCTGTTTTCGGGCGAGACTATGCGTAACGGGTATTTGGACTCGTTAAACGGAGATTCCTAGTAATTATACGTTTCGACGTTGAAAATCGATCATCGTCAGGGTAGGAATTATTTTGACTAGGTGCAAGCTCAGTGAGCCACAAAATCTTGGGGCATTTTATGGAGCTAAGACTTTGCCAGGTCCGCGTGCTATGCTGCTCGGTGAACCGTGCGGAATAACGTTCACTTAGGATGCTCATAAATTCTCTCCTTGGTACCGGAAACTCGAGAATACCCACGACCGGAAATGCTTTCACTGGTGACTGTGTCCCTACATAAATATTACCTTCTACGAGTATCAAGCGTCTGAATAATTAGTCGGCTTACTCTCAACAATTAAACACGTAAAATCGGTTGGACGAGCGGAACAAGTGGTGCTTGGAGTATCGCTATGACTAATTGGACGAACGGTATGAAGGACTGAGTTTGTTAGGTTAGGTTATGTTTATCGGTTCGATGGGACCGACGAACAAGCGCGGGAATTCGAGTTGATTTAATTTTGAATATTAGCCAGGGTGAATTTTTTTTTTATTTTCACACCTTTTATGCTCCAAAAAATTACCTCGATCCCTAATTAATTTTTTTCTGTAATCGAAGACACTGATACCCACGGTTTCTACCTCTTTGCCCAAGGGTGGAAACTGATTGGTTCGATATCTTTTTTAATCCTTGGGAAAATTTAGCAAACAACCGAGAAGCCTGTAATTTTAGTCGGTTGTGCATATTTCATGAATGTACCGTGTGTGCGCATAATTTTCAACCCTCTCGTGCCTCTTGCGTAGCTGTACAGTTACTTCGCGAGGGCTGAGTTGATTAACCTCTACAATATTTAAGAAGTACGGACACGGCTAAAAAGCTTTCTCTAGCATTACTGCCATTACTTTTTTTCCAACGAATTTTATCAAGCAGTTACGTCGCGAATCAAATCCCAATTAAACTGCGCCAATGAGTGAAAATATAATTACGCCTGATATAAAGAATATTGTACCAAAAAAAAAAATCACCCTCTCTCGTATGAAATTGCACGATATACGTCAAAGTCAGTGGATACGTCAAATGGAAGAATGAAAACGTATTCCTCGCTGTACACTGATTATAATACTCCAACGAGCTTGACAGCTTGACAGTTTTATTGCAAACTTCGAAAATCCTATTTTTGACAAAAAAAAAAAAATTAATAAATTTTATCATTTAGTAAATTTACCTTTTCCTCGACGATCCACGAAGATACCCTGACCGTCCTCTCGTCTCCACATTAGAGTAGGCGTCGGTATACCCTCGGCCCTGCACGTTAGGGTGATATTTTGATTCTCCCTAACAGCAACGGTGCTTTGAGTAGACATGGAATCCAATATGTTTGGCGGTACTGAAACGTAAAGGCAAGTGGATTAGATTTACGTAATATAAACACTAATGAGAATAAATTTTCCATATAACTTCTAATACAGACCTACAACCTCGAGATATCCCACTTGACTGATCATGGGATTCGTATTTACTTGACACATGTAATAGCCTATGTCCTGTTTCTGAACGCTGCTAACGTGCAGCAGCCAAGTCTTTTGATTATCATAGGACACCGAGAATCTTGGTATCTTGGCGATGACTCTGGTATGCATGGTGACCAGCATGTGTCTGTTTATGTGTATCCAGGCGACCTGTAAGTAAGATGAATATTAAATAAATATTTTTGGGGGAATTTTTTTTTTTTCGTAAAAATACTAAAATTATATATCCGTTTCGAAAATGTTGTCGAACAAACGAAAAGACGGTTGACGCTAATGGAACGTGAAACAGCGTAAAGGCTGGTTAGGAAGCCTCGAGGGTGCGCGCGTTCATTTTCAGCGGACTCGGGAAACGTAATATAATGGTGCTTCCCCCATTTCCGCTCTGGCGAGCTCCTAGGCAAAGAAAACCGACGTTATTTTCCCGGCTGGAGAATTCACGAGGAATGTGTTTGTCGCGTGGAAACTACTTGGGCTACGAAAAGCCGTTTGATATTTAGAATCCTATTTTTCCGAAAGACCAGACACGCGCGTGCCATAGGCTTTTATTTAATGGGGGTCAAGTGTCACTGCACTAGGCCCAGCCCACCCGAGCCCTGTGCTGCCTTTTAATAACCATCCCAGTGACCAGCCCAATGACTGAGCTGGCTGCGTTATGCAATTCTTCGAATGACGTAATTTTACGTTTCAACTTCCGGTATGTCAAATTAATTAAAAAGTCTACTATATAATCAGGGTAACTCGAATGAAAAATTCCTCGTCAGACTTTCAATCCACGAGCCTTAATTTTCACTTTTCGGAACACTCGAATAATTTTCCAAGTATATCATCTCCATACGTCGCTCGAGATTTGGTCCATTGGCGATGCCACAAGTGGCGACTACCCGGTGATACGCTAAAAACTTTATCAGGATGTTCCTCCGATGCCTGAACGTTACTACGATGGTATTTTACGCTCGGGCGATCTAATTTCTCCCTAACTAAGCTTGTTCCGTGACAAAGCTTATGCACTTTCCTAGAATTTCTGGGTTAACTTACCCGCTTCCATCCGCTTCACGTCCCACTCTCATTTCCTTCGTCACTCGAGGGCACCTAGATGCGCGGTTACTTTGTCTTTTTTTATTCAGTCTCTCTCTCTCTCTCTCTCTCTCTCTCTCTCTCTCTCTCTTACTCTCTTTTTCCTACTCTCTTTTTCTTATTTTCTACTACGCTCTCCGGTCCGACAAGAAAATGAAGAATCCAACAGCGTCATAAGCGAAGAGAAAATGCCTGCGCAATCCGCGACCGAAGTAAAACTTCGAGTTAGCATCCGTCGGATAAGAGCTTTTTTTAACGACAGTCACGTGCTTCGATTTTTGGTTTAAGGAGACGAAAGCATCCTGGTAAGCTTCCGCTGTACCAGAGAGCCAACGTATACAGAGGACGTCTACGTGTGAAATTGTTAACGCCTTATGTGAATTACCCTGGCACAGCTTCCGCGCCCGGGATCTAACATGAAACTTTAAGACATTGGATTAAGTGACTCCGATATAAACGCAGCATCCTAATCTCGTAAGATTCCTTCGGGCGAAAGGACCACTGCGCTATTTCTCCTTGGAACAACGTTAAGCGCATACGAACGGTTATGCATGTATTAAGGTGAAAAGGAAACCTGTGAAAAATTCATGGTATAATTTTTTTTTCATTTTTAGGATTACTTGAAAAAAAAATTATTTTACTAAAAATACAATGTAAATTTGATGAAAAAAAAAAGAAATTCGTTTTTTCGCTCATCCGCAAATTTATGTTTACTGCATACATCTTTTATCCGAGCACGCCCATGGCTCGATGTATTATCGGTACGTACGTTCATAGGAAATTGTTGGAGGCCCGAGGGAGGATCGGAGGAAAGAAAATAAAGCGAGAAATTTAATCTGGAACAAAGAACATTCAATCGAGCGGAGGCTCGACTGAAATTCTTGGCGTAGATTCAAAGCCAGACTTAACCGAGCCCAATAACAGTCCGGGTCTGGTGTAATCGTCGTAAAGCTGCTTAACAGCGCCGACTAGCGGACGACGGAGGAAACGTCTTTTTTGCAGTTACCACCTCCAGCTCTCACTGTCACTTGGCAATACATTATTCTTAATGTCCCTCTTGTCTCTGTTTTACCTATCGGTAACTACGGGTTACGATACGTATATATATAGATATAGCTATTTTATACCTATCCCGTTCTTATTGTATATTCTATTCCAAATTACGTAAATTGGGATTAGGGCTATCAAGACCAAAGTTATCTTGAACGATCAGAATGAATCCCTATTCTTACGGTAGATCTAGCTAGAGGACTGCAAAAGCTCATCGAAATCCCAGCAGCACTAGGTGGGTTCGTTAAAGGAAAACGCGACACGAATTTTACAATTTCTCTTCTCTCTCTATACATCCAGCTGTACGTACGTTCGAGTAGGCGAAAAACGTGGAAAACGTTCGATTCGCTTATTCCGGCCAAAGGAATCCGAGCATGTTTCGTTGCACAGGGAAAAACGAAGAATTCCGTTGCAACGCAAGTGGATCCAAGCAGGCAGCTACCAACGTTAATCAACCCAATGAAAATTTTCTATGCAAGCGAACTTTGCTACTGGCAGTCGTTAGCCGGAGCTTGATTTCCCACAAGATCCCTCAAACGCCCGCAAGCTTTCTAAGCGTATATACATATATACTCCAACGGTGGCAACAGCTTTACTACACTTTCGCTCCTCCTTTTCCGTCCCGTACTCGCTGCTTCTTTTTTTTCCCTTCTCAACCCTTTCTTCTGACAATTTTTTTTTTTTTTTTTTTTTTTTTTTTTTCCCCGGTATTCACGCCCACCCGCGCTTAACCTGCAACAAAGACGCTGGGCGCCATTGTTTCCCATTAACTGGATTCACTCCGGTGGCTACAGAAGCGACAGGAATTAAATGGGCAACTCCAATAGTTGCTGCTGGTAATATAAATCGAGAGGAAGGTGAGGGGCGGGGAAGGGTTATTTTTTTTCTTTTATTTTGGAATTTACGAAAGTCGCTACTCTGATTATGTAACTCAGAATTCTTTGTCGGGCCAACCAGCTGATTTTGAGGTTCAACACTCAACGCGTTCCCGGTAATTGGGTTGGCAAATTAATTATTACGTTCGCTTGCTAATTAGGTAATTAGCTGCAACGAGCGTCTATGACTTTTGCACAATGCTTGCGACTCGCCTTAACCCGTAGCGTTTTCAAGTAACTTCCTCGGGCGACTTTATCGCGACATCGCCAAGTGTCTATTTACTCGCAGCTAAAGTGAATTTTAAGAAAGTTTTGAGAAACGATTTTCTTTTTTTTTAATTAACAAATAATCATGATTCATTTTCATGGATAAATTTTTCAGTAAAAATTCTTGAAATTTTTTTTTTTCAAAAATTATCATCAATTCACTTCTTATCGGTCACACCCGCCTTTCCTAACTCGACCGTTCAGGCTTTTAAGCACTCGCACAATTTTCTACCTCTATTCACTTATATGCTATCTGATAATTGTAATTCTTTATCAAAGGCTTGTGCAATTTTTCCTAGTCCCACTGTAACCGCACTAACTTCACCCTCGTTACTTACTAATGGCACGCCTTAATAATATCGATCTACCGTCATCCAAGTATTAAAATAATAACGTGCATTAATATTCCGCGCGCGAGATGGAACAGGTGGTTCCTTTCGTTGAGCGAAGCGCCAGAATAATACGGCCCTGTCGCTTGCCGCGCTTAACCCATTTCCCATCATAACTTTGCGGGCTAGACTGGATCACCAATATGGTTACCATGGTACGTCGACGAAACGGTACCGTGCCCGAAAGTCTACGCGGAGCACATTACAGATGAAGAGAAACGAAAGGGAACATTTCTAATGGATAAGAACGTCGCTGAAAAACGAAAAAAAAAAGTGTCAGCAATGGACGCAAGACGCGTAAAAAATTTTTTTTTTTCGTAAATCGACACCGAATTATTTCGATAAAGTCGGACTAAAAATTTTTTTGGATTATCACGAAAATTGACTAATAATCATAAAAGTGCCCGGGATAAAATACGAAAACCCAATAAAATTCAGTACCGACCTTACCGGATGCACAATAAAAATTTTCAGTCGACTCGAAAGACCGTCGGAGCACTTTGTTGCATCATACACTTTATACGTGAATTGGATTACTCGTGCTAAACAAAACGCACGTGGTAACGAACGTTAGGTTAGGTTTCCGTGACTATTGGCAAATATCAGGCTGACGATAGATTCCTCGTATAAATAAAAATTGGCTCGGTTATTTTCATATTTACTAAAGTGCAGTCTATTTGCCAATACATATATGTATATACTGCGCTTACGTATACATTCGAGTCCATTACCCGTCAGAGTTCTCCTGCCGTGCCCAGACATTTGCATTCATATAACTCAGGAGGTCTAATACGGCGACGCGAGAAGATACAGCCGGAAGGCAACGGCGACGTATGAATATTTAAATATGCAGGATCTCCGAAGACGGATAGATTTACGGCACTGCGTGGATGGGCGGACACCCAATACGCGTCATAATATTTTTATCGGTACTCTCGCGAGTATCCGGCATAACCTCGCCAGCCCTTGCCTTCCATTCGCTCTGCATTTGCTTCGTGCCCACTTTTTTCATCCTTTTTTTTTAAGGCAACGAAAAAAAAAAAAAAAAAATATCAAACACCCGGATAACATTGCATCGATTCCAAGCCGTCTTTACGGTGCCGTTAAAAAGGAAGACATAAAGAAACATGGCCGCGTACACGTGAGCTGGTACCGTCGGATCGTCAAACTTTTGCGACCATAACAATTTTTAACCTGAAACTTGATTTCGTCTAAGGGCGCTAAATTCAAATTTATATATATTTCCCGCCACTTTTTATATTCGTATATACACACGTATACCATAATGACTACTCATCGGCGCAATACAGTCTTTTTATGGTGTAAACTCGGAATCGGTAAACTCGGGGATGCAGTCGAAGCAACTGCAACGGGGTCGAATAGACTTTTGACAAAGAGGTTAACGAGGTCGCGTCAATGTTTTTCTTTTTTGTTCACCTTCATATCTAGACGACAATTTTCAAATAGACAACCATAGACAACTCGAAGCTTCGAGTCGAGCTGGTCCAAAGAGGCCAAAGAGGCAAACAACCAGGCAGCGGAATATGAGGGCGTGGGAGAGAGAGAGAGAGAGAGAGAGAAACAAAGAGCGCGTGGGGTGGTAAAATAAAAGAGCGAGAGGACATGACCGATGGCCGCGGGCTTTTCCGACGCGTATTCCACTGCAACTGCATTTATAACTCTCGCGGAAGCATCTCTTCGTTCCTCTCCTTTTTACCTCTCCATGTCTATTTCAGCGAAATAACTGCACGTAGACGTTTGTTTGAGTGGGATTTTGATCTCGCCTGGACCATCCACCTTCGATCTTCCCATCCCCCTCCATCTACCCACCCACCCGGGACCCCCTGATGCATTTCCAATAACGTTGCAGTTCTGCTGCACAGACGCGCACAGGAACACGATACCAAACGCTAACGAAGCTCGCATTCAGGGCCGGGTACTTGAGAAAAGTTTGGAACAAAAAAATTTTTTTTTGGCAAAATTAAGAAAATAACGAGCGCGCAAAACCGGACGTGCTCGAAAACAGATAAAATTTAATATTTCAATAAAATAGTACGTCACGTGCTAATTTTTGCATCGTGAAACGCCAAATTGATTATAGAAACGAAAGCTAAGTGGATATTTATATTTCTAGATTTATGTGAGAAAAAAAAGTCCAAAAACCAGAGCAATCGACAGTGCGCCGAATCAGTGACCTAACAAACGTCGAGTGATCGACCAGCAAGTTTACATATTGATAAATGCGAAAATTATTTTTTTTTTATGCAGTTCGCTCGAGTTCGCTATCGCTAAGAAAACGTATGAATTTACCTATAGATATAGCACAGTCGAGCAAAGCAATAAAAATACATGTCTATCCAGACGAGTATTTCCAAACCATGCAGTTCACGGATCAAACGTAGGTAACTCCCATGAATAATTTTATTTACCTTGTAGGTACCCAGGTTCTCGACGACGCATGGTAAATTGGCGTCTCTGCCCAGGGCGACGGTGACGTTGGGTATCGGTTCGGCGAATCTGGGTCCGTCCGATAGAGCTGTAAAAGAAAAAAAATATATATAAAACAACAAAATAACCAAGATCGGAGATACCGATACGTGATCAGGATTTCTCTCGATTTTCAGACACAAATCCAGATCCGCAGACGACGATAGACTGGAGTTTGAAATTAACAAGTAAATCGAGCGTCTTAGAAATCGTGATACTTTTCTATCGCGTTACAGAGCTCTCTCGTGTCAGTTCTCGCAACTATAAGTATATCCCAAGTCCATCTCTCGATATCGTACACCATGGTACAGGGTCCCTGCTTGCCAGGAGCCACTGGTCCTATATCTATAGAAAAGTTTCGGACGACCCCCCCCCCGACAGAGAATTGCTTTCTTGGCAGTGCTACGGGAAAAGGGTCTTTGGGGATTGCGTTGCTAGAAGATCCGTATATGCATCCTTCAATCGAACGTCACTCGACGAAGCGGAAGTCCTTGATACAATGTTAGGTCTGGCGACAACCGACCAGCCTGATGCCACGCGACTCGTCTCTTCTCCAGTTTCCGGTCGTGTCTCCATCACGGCATCTCACACTGCCGGTCTCAAAGTTTCGGAAACTTTTGGCCGATGCACTCGAGGATAAAGGAAGGCAGTTGGCTGGTCCTTCGACCGGAAGAAAGCAGCCTTCGATTCCGGTCGAAGACACTTTGCTCCTCACCGGAAATACGTCCATCCGAAGACACTCACCGAGAGTTCAGGACAGTCTTGGGTTATGATTCTTCCGGGGAGCCATTGTGTTCCCGGAAGTAGCCCCTTTTGCTCCTTGGCTGAGAATATGGTATTGCGTCACCCCGCAAAAAAAAAAAAGGTCTGCGCATGCGTCTATTAAGCTATTGAAAAATTTATAACAGTCCACTTCCGGTTAAATGTGTATTTATTGAAAATCAGAATATTTACCTAAGACTTTCTACAGCGTGTACGAGAGTCGTTTGTATCCGTTGTGGTTAAACTGGCGGAAGTGAAATTTATGAAAAGAATTTTCCACCCCGGAGAGATCATTGGGTTCCCAAAGGACTATAGTAAATGAGTCTGCTAATTAGAGGAGTTTCGAATTGAAATTATTGTTTCGGCCAGTAAGACAAACGAGCGTGGGGTTAATGGTCACGGTGGTAGGAAACAGTACATCGCGCTGGAATAGGTTATTCTAATCTGGAAAACGAACAGCCGGAAGCTAATGTAACGCAATCAATTCCCAAGTCGAGTTGGTTTTTGTTTTTTAAATGACCTAACAGTTGCTTGGTTACGTATTTTTGGTTTTTTTTTTATGTTCAGTTTCGCCAATAACATCTTTGCTCGACTTTCGGAACGCGCTGATAACTTAGGCACGTTACGATCGACTGGCCCGATGTCAAAAAAAAAAAACTACGGAGCTATCAATTTTTTCCATGAGGAAAAACGACGCGGAAGAAACTAAGAAAATATTTTCCTATTTCAGTCGTATAAATCGTTCTGTAAGAAATAGCGGCTGGGATTTACTTGAGCGAGAGTTGGTAGCTGTACTTTCATAAGAATTGCCCATCCGATGCCACTGGATCTATCGTTCAACGGGTTAATCTTTGAATCACAAGTTTCCCTTCCGTCGAATCACTATGGTCTATGGTCTGTTCTTGCTTTAGTACGAAGTTTAATGGAGTTTTTGTTATATCGTCGAATCACTTTTATTTATTTTCTTATCAGTGTCCGAGTTTACATCTAGTACTGTTGCTGGATTTTTCGTTCGTAATTTACATATTGTTATTACAGACCTTTAACTATTTGGATATTCGTAATAGTTTTCGAATTCGAGCAGACAACGCTTCGCTAATTGGACTAACAGAACTTTCAAAATGGCTCATGGATTAAAGCCAATTAAAATCTGCTTACGTATCATTTACTGAATTTAGCTTTGCTCTAAATTACTTTAATCAGAAGGATTCGGGGGAATCCCACATTTCCGTTACTCGTTACGAATATAGACCATGGTATTGCAGGTTACGATATAGGACAAGTTTTGCCGAATTGCGGAACGCGTCAAATCTACAGCACGTGACAGTTAAGACAATGCGAAAAATCACTCGAGTCGTAGAAGATATCTTGTTCAATTTTCACAATTATTACTTTCCACATTCGCGTAGCTTTAAATGCGGATTTGAAAAAGTGTGCTTCGAGCAATCTACGAATATTTAGTATTACGAAGGCAAATTATAGCTTATTCACTTGTCTGATATCGCGTAAGATTTATTAAGGAAAATGCAATTTTTTATTTTTGACAATCAACCAACAGAAACGTCCTTTTACAACTACGTATTATATTCTTCGTACCCCTATAAGGCAGTGTCAGTTAACGTAGTAGAAATTTCCTATAAGAATTGCGTATACGTCTCGAACGATTGCCTCAAGGAGATTCCGTCACGTCTGTCATTTATAAAAAAATTCCTTAGCGACTCCTTATAGATATTTTTTCACGTGTGTGAGAATCCCCCCCTCTACTCTCTCTTTCCCTGCACTTCCCCCTTTCCTTGAATTGATGAACCTCCCATCTTACTGCAGTATATGTATAGTATATATATACGTGTGTATATGGCCTGTCAAATGGTTTATACTCGTTCGCGATATCCGAATGCGCCAGAAGATTCTAGATCGTCGGCTTTCCGTTTGGTTGGATCGCATCGTTGCACGCCTAACGCTAACATTTCCCTAGACACGATATAATCCGTATTTAAAGCTTCTGTAAGATAAATTCGAATAAATACATTAGAGAAACATCCTAGCGTGCACAATGCTACTATTGTATGTTCAAAGCACGTTATTGATAATATTGTATGGAATGCTTTCGACTGTACTTTGTAATACTGCGAGAGGAAAGTAAAAAGCTGGTAGATATTATTGTTAACATTTTTTTTCAATTCTCCGTCTTATCGAGTTTCCTCGCTCTTATCTGTTTCTTCTTTTGAAATTGAAGATTTTTATTCTATGGAATATGATACAATTTTTATATATTATCGTATCATATATAACCTAACACTATTTTGTCTCTACCAACTTACCCGGGAATGGTCGTGCGATCTTGTTCCCCACTTGAAAAGCATTGACTCTCGGTCTCTCGTACGTCCCACGCACCTGCTCACGGGTTACTTAGCAAAAGTAATATTTTTCAACGCGATACAATACGTAACGGTTGATTAAACTTGAATAAATCCAGGTTTATCGCGCTCAAATAAAAGTTCAAACGAGACTGACGAAAGTGTGGGATCCATAACCTTCAGTCTTATACGCGAAAGTTACCACAATGCCGTGCTGAGCTCAACGACGTTAGTTCCAAAAGTTGCGCCTAGTCCTCCGCGAGATGGCGCAGCAATCACATAGTTCTGAGTAAACGTACTAACAGGACGAAAAACAAACGAAAGAATTTTCTTCTACGTGACACAACACGTGATCATTCGCTTACAAAAGTAATACGTAATTACCTTTACGGTGTTCATATTAAAAAAATAATGGTTTTTTTGTACGTTAATCGTTTTTATTCGGACGACTGTTACACTTTCATTTGACGCGTGAGAATAATCAATAGCCGGAGAGCGGAAAGGTCGGCCGTGTTGTCATCAAGCAGGTAGTTCTGTTCCAACAGTCAAGCGCGATGGTCTTTTCTTTTTTTCCGTGCGGGAAGTGAAACTGGAAAGAAACGCCTAAAGTGCATCTGATGTTATTCTCAAGATGGATCCTTGACAACTGTGTTATTTTATACGTTATTAATTCTCGTACGAATTAGAAGTGATATGTGTATAGTAAATACTTTAGAACAAGACTGTACTCTGCTTCTGGCCAACTTTTCAGTCAGTCTGTGTTTGCCAGTTCCTAGTTAACAAAGAACATTCCCGAACTCTGCTGTCAGAGTCGTGCCCTGATTAAATGTGTGTGTCTATGTTTCCGAGTGAAGGATAATATTTAATGTATTCTTTGTATTAATAAATATTTCTTTTACTTGCCCATCGAGGAATTCACTGTTTGCCAGGGATTAAGTTACGAAGCAACTGTATAACCTACTAAGGTAAATTATTATTAGTCTCTGTCTCGTCGTCGAAAATGTTTTTCTTAGTTATTCTTATGGAAAAAAAAAAAATAAAATATATATCTTGTCTTTAAACCATCACTTTACATTATATTTATCATTCCCTTTTACTCCCTATACGTATAGTCTATTTACAATAATATCTGACGTGTCTCCTATGTGCCACTGGACAAATAACTCGAGCAAACGTTTGTCTGGATTCACGTGAAAAGGATTTTCAAGGCAATTTCCTTTTTTTTCACTGTTACACTGTTGAAGAAAGTTGATAGACCAGAAGGGCCATGAGGGGAAGGACGATACAGCAAAGGCATACTAAAACGTTTCACTAAATAATTGAAGCTGTCTCTAAGGACGCGGCGGAGGCTTCTGTTAGATACATCATCGTGTAAGCTCCGTGTGCAATAAACCATCTGGACAAAGATACTCGTAGGTTCGCATAAAGGTAAGCATTCGAATGAATTATATTAAAGTCCTGAAGTATAATATGCATACGCGAATGAAAAATTTCACATCCGTTAAGACGAAATTTATATTTCGTAAGCAAACTGGCTGCATGTTTAAATTCCTGAAGGATCTTTGAATATAAAATAAAATATTTAAATATACGCGCGCTTGGGACGACGCATAAATTCACCTTGGGACCTCAGCTTTCGTACTTCCCCTCTCGGTGTGTACGATCCAGGGCTCAAATGGATGCGCAATATTTGTTTGCTCGCATAATCAGCAGGTAGCTTGACACGTTTTTTTCACGGCTTTCAAAGCATCCGCGCCCCGTGCTAAAAGTGCCCGCGGGAAAAGAGGGGATATTATTTTTCAAAATAACATTACGCTCGCGGCCTAAGGCGCGGGAAATCAATTTTTAAAGCATTCAGTACATTCCCTACTTAAGGTCCCATTATGACGCCAAGAAAAAACACGATAAGCAGAAATACGTTTACTCCCTT